AACTTAACTAACTCCTAAGTGGATCCTTAAGTATTGTGTGTTAGATTAGCATATAAACTTCATGTGTTTCTGAAGTTATAGAACAGCTTAGCGAAGGTCATTTGGGGTCCCCTGATGGCCTGTGTCTTTTCCTCACTGGTCTTGTTCATCTGTGTCTGACAATGTCTATGAATTCACTGTCCTTAGAGACAGGTGCTCTCAATGACCCAATGTTGAGAACAATGAACTTCACGGTCTGCCTCTCCTTGCTGGTGCGTGCTGCTCTTTATCCATCTTGGTGTTTGTTTTTGTTTTGTTTTAATTTTTAATTCTTGGGCCATGTGAATTGGGTGAGAATTTCTCTTCCCCCGATTCACTGGCCACATACAGCTTGATAAGAACTGCTGATTTTGGACATAGGTAATAATAGGTCAAAGAGAGGCTGCCCTCCCTCCCTATGTGTGCATAGGGTCAAAGAATAAGTTACATGATGTATATTTCCTTTGTAAGTGTTTGGTGGTTTTACCCACAGGAATTTTAGTTGTATGTCTATCTTTCATGTAAGTGTGGTTGGGGGTGGAGAGAGGTAGGTGAGGAGGGAGTGAGAATGTTTGGGCTACAGCTAGTCATGGCCAGGGATTATTTCTGGCTATGGCCCTTGACGTGACTCCTGGCAGTACTCAGAGGGACCATATGTATTGCCAGGGATTTAAACTGGGTTTGTTATGACAAGTACCTTAATCCCGATCCTATAGGTAAGATTCAAAATGATCAATTATATTAACTAGATTAACTGGCACCCTTTCTGTCCCTCTGTTTTTACCATAACAGTAGGAAAAGGCCGAGTTTCATATTTTATTGCTGAATAGCATTCAGTTGTTCATATACATAATAGGTTTTTTAACTCAGTTATTAGCTATTGTACACCTGGGTTGTTTCCATTCTAGATTATTGCAAATAGGTGTGCATATATCTTTTCAAATTGTCATTTTTCTTTCCTTATAGTAGATGCCAAGGAGTGGAATTGCTGGCTCATACTGTAATTCTGATTTTTATTTTGTTATCAAGTTCGTCTGGGTTTCTACAGAGGCTGAACTAGACAACTATCCCAACAACAGTGAATAGGGATTTATATATGGCCATACTAATCTGTTCTAATTGTCATTAGTTCCTTCCCACTTTGGGTTAAATTTGTCTTCCTTTTACTAATTCTTGAAATGTGAAGTTAGGTTATTTAGTTCAACCTTTTCTTTATTCCTAATGTGAATCTGTATTGCTGCAAACTTCTCATGGAACTGCTTTGCTGTCTTCTGCAGATTCTAATAGCTTGTGTCTTCATTCTTATTTGTTTCCTGGAATCTTTGTTTTTCTTAGTCTCCCGATGTTTTAATTTTTTCTTTCATGGTTAATTTTTACTTTCATAGCATTGTGATCTGCAAAGAGACAATGCAATTTCTATACCTCTGTGGACATTTATGTCCCAGCATGTGGTTTATCCTTTATTACTGTTCCAAGTGTCCAGGAAAAGAGTGTGTACTTGTCTTTGAGGAGGTGGGAAATCTTTAGCATATTTGTTAGTCCCAAGTTTTCCAATTTCTCATTTAGAAATGTTGTTTCCTTACTGATTTTCTGTCTGATCTGTTTGATGATGATAATAGGTTGCTAAAGTCTCCTACTACTGTTACATTATCCTTGGGTTAAAAACCTTGCTGCTCTTCCATTTGGTGCATATATGTTGTTAAGGAGTTAATCTTATTGATATATGAGTCTGTTAATCAGTACTATTCATTCCTATCTCTTACTGACCTCTTTTGTGTGAGTCCTATTTTGTTTGATATAATTTAGGTCCTCCTTGCTGTTTTCAGATACCATTTTCTTGTATGATTAGTTTCCAGTCATTTACTCTGACCTTTTTTATTGTTGAGTTCATATCTCTCTGTCTCTCTGTCTCTGTCTCTCTCTCTCTCTCTCTCTCTTCTCTCTCTCTCTCTCTCTCTCTCTCTCTCTGTCTCTCTCAGAAGCAGCAGTAGGTGGGATATTTTTCTCCATTCCATTTAGCCACTCTGTTCCTTTTGATCAGGCAGCTTTATACATTGACATTTAAAAGAAATACTGACATAAGGAAGTTACTGCCATTTTTCTATGAGACTTTTGAATATTTTTCAGACTGACATTATTTCTTTGATTTTTACCTAATTTCTCTGTTTGCAGTTTGAGTCAACTGTTTTTTTCTTTTTGGGTCACACCCAGCAACGCTCAGGGGTTACTCCTGGCTCTGCACTCAGGAATTACTCCTGGCGGTGCTTGGGGGACCATATGAGATGCTGGGAATCGAACCCGGGTCAGACGCGTGCAAGGCAAATGCCCTACCTGCTGTGCTATTGCTCCAGCCCCATTGAGTCAACTTTTGATGTGATGATCTAGTTCCATTGTTATTTTTTCTACATATTGTTATTTTTCTTCTATATTTTTACATCTGAAGTTCTTAGCTTATTTTCCCTTGCAAATCTAAAGCAAATGAGTCTCAGGTGCATTCTGGAAATTCCTTTTATTACTCTCTCCCATTTTGTATTTTGTGTCTTATTCTGAGTGACACCCCCTTCCCTTTTTCAGAAGACCAGTTAATACTTCTTGCAGAGCTTATTTAGTGTCAATGAGTGCCTTCAGCTATTGCTTATCTTAAAGTGTTTTATCCCTTTTTCAAATCTGAGTGATAACCTAGAGGAATAGAGAATTTCTGGTTGGAGATTCTGCTTTTCATGTCTTTGAATATACCATTTCATCAGTTATTTTGACCCAGAAAAATTTTATAATGCTTTGACTTGTGATCCATGATTCGTTCTGCTCTCTGTCATCATGGAAGGGTAATACATAATGCTGTTTTACTTTAATATGAAATGAATTAATTATCAAAAATATCCCAAGAAACTTCTATGTAAATTAAATTTATGGTATACTATATTTAGTAAGTTCCAAGACACGTTTAACATTTTGGGGAGCTGGGGAGATAGTATAGGAGTTAAGGCACCTGTCTCGCATCCAGCCAACCATGGTTTGATCCCTGAACTGCATATGGTCTTCTAACATTGCCAGAGTTCATTCCTGAGCACAGATCCCTAGGAATAGCCTCTGAGCACTGCACACAAACCCCCCAAAAGATACTTTACTATGATCAGTGGGGTTTTTTTTTTGAGGGTGTATCATAGCTTTAATTGTGTTTTTTCATTGTTACAAAGCTTAAATGCAAATGAGTATCATTTACATAAGACAAAATTCAACAATAGAAACATTAAAATTTAGAGACTGTCAGCCAGGTATTTTATTTTATTTCTATATTTTATTTGATTATAATATTGATCTAGTTTTTGTTTGGCAACTTCTCTTTACTAAACAATGAGTTTATATATTTAAAGTTGATCTTACAATAAAAAACAGTGGAACTGGGAAAGAAAGAAGGAATTTGTAGGTACCTTCTTCATCTTAAATTATATTCGGTAAATGAATAACAAAATTTATTTTCTTATAAATGTGTGGAAATACTAATAATTCTTGTGAAGGTATTGTGAATTGATGATTTTTGCAATAAAAGATGCATTTCTTTAATCAGAGACATACATGAATACATGCTGTAGTATGCTTAGCACTACTATCTTCATTGTTCTTGGCAGTGAAAGGGAGTATTTTTTTAAACTTGAAACAATGCATATTAATGAAAATTTACAATTCTTTTGATAGCTTTATTGCATGTACAGACTGTTTACAGTCTGATTACACTTTGCTGTTTTCTGATTCTTTGCTAAGAAGATTTAAATTATTGAATTAGTAAACATAGGTCGATAGTCCACTCATTGTGCCTGAAATTGCACCTTCCTGTGGAAAAAGTCTAAAGAGCTAGCTGCTTTGTAATACGAGGGCACAATAGGTATTTATAAAATGTTGAGTGTTATATCTTTTAGATTAGCGATTTTCAGCAGCTGCTCCACTGACATAAAATGTAAAAGCATAATCTGGGTCAGGTAGATAACTCAAATGTGAAGCACGTGCCTCGAATGTGTGAGGCTTTAAGATCAATCCCCTGCACTCAATGCATGCCCCCACTTTAGCACCACCTGGTATAGCTCTGATGATCCCAGCATACCATTAGGTGTAGACTTGGTAGGCTCCAACAGGAGACACCAGCACTGAACTGTCACACCTAGCGTTGCTCAGTATCCCTAGGATTGGCTCATGGGCTTCAAAGCGCAGCCAGAAGTTATTTACAGCTAGTCTGGTACACAGTGCACAGATTAGTAACAGTCTGCACATGTAAAAAGGTTGAAAGCACTGTTTCAGATGATTAGGAAATAAATTAGCTTATAGTTTAAGTGATTATCTGAGAATAGACTGGTGTCATAGTTACTCATGAAAGTAGAATATATACCGAGAACTGTATGGAGAATGATGAGAGCTCCTCAGTCCAGTTTGAATATTACTCAACACCCTAACTTTAAGCCATACAGCTTACCATAGAAAACAGATTCAGAGACTGAAAATACTTCTAGGGATGTAAAGGTGATTCAGCAGGCACAACTGTAACAAGTTCACATAAATCAGTTAGCAAATCAACAGTCTCTTCTTTGAAATCATATAGAAATCAAGTCATATCTATTCTTGTGTTAATCAGTTTTAATAATAGCTCAATAGCTAATCCTTGAAAGACTGAAGCAAAAGGTATAGTGAGGGGGAAATGCAAACTGATGATGTGGATTTTTTTTCCTCTAGTAGCTGAAGGTTAAATGGGTAGCAAGCAGAATGCCTTAAACAAGATTGGTATATTGATTAAAACGCTGATTTAACAGCTCCCTGTCTCCCTCTGGAAACCTGGAAAAGATAAGCCAGCTGCTGTCTAAGAGTGCTCATGTCCACTGAGAACACACTATCTATCATCACAATATGGTGATGAGAGGTGTTTTATGTTTGTGTTAATTTCCCCCACTAAATCAGTAATTATTACAATCCTGTCCCTGCTGTTTACCCTACAGCTGTTTTTCCATTTGTCGAGAGAGCGGGTGTTCTCTGAGGACCGCACACGTTTCTATGGTGCAGAAATTGTGTCTGCCTTGGACTATCTACATTCTGGAAAAATTGTGTATCGTGATCTCAAGGTAAAAAAAATGTAATCAAAATTTGTTTTTGCATAGACTACAGGGACAGACATGAAGTAATTACAAAGTTAAACAGTTTGAAGAAAAGCAGATTTAGTTGAGAAAAAAGGAAATACTCCGAATGTATTCACTGCATATGACAGGAAATTTTTTATTCACTGGTAGGTTTGTGTTTCATTTGTGTCCAGGATTCTCTTAAGAAAAAAAAATGTGTGACTGCTCTCACAAAATATAATATACCAATATCATAGTTTGTTTCTGTATTATAAGAATATTAATATATGGTTAAATGTCAATTAACTTGACAAGTAACATTTTTAAAATTGCTTTTGTGATTATATCCTCTCATCCTTATGTATGGAGAATATATTAAAATAAGGTTATTTGTTAGAAAATTTTGATTATAGATACTAACTTTTTGTTAGGTTTAAATACCTGAGCATCTTAAAATATATAAATTTTATTAATTTTTCTTTCTATTTTAAAAGCAGTATATTTGTTTTATCTCAATAGTGACTTTCTCTTAAGTTCTTTTCTATGATCCTGAAGAGTAGCTCAGGGATTTTAGACTTTTTAAAAAGAGCAGAGATTACATGTTTTATGTTTTGCTACCCATGCAATTTTTGTTGTAACTCCTTAGTCCTACCATTATAGAGTAAATGCAACTCAGATAATACATAATGAGTGTTTCTGGTGATGTTCCAGCAAAGCTTTGCTTACAGAGATAGGCAATATGCTAGATTTTATACATTTGCCATAGTTAGCAGACCCATGGAGTAATTCACAAAGATAGTAATAATTTTATCATATTTTTAATTCTATTGACCACTTAAGAAAATTTGTACTAAGGCATATTTTCAACAAATTCTTTGTGAAAATCTTACTTTCTTGAAAAGTAAATCACATAGTTACCTTGTTCTATTCAAAGGTGGCATAAAATTTCTCTATCAAGTGCTAGTTTTTTAAAATATGTAATTTGATTTGTAGAGATAGAAGTAACATGACTCTTTTGAATTCTCTTTTACTGAACTGCAATATATAGCTCCATAGTATACCATATAAAAATTGTAGTTATCCACTTAGGTCATTCCTTTTTAACACTTACGATTCTTTTCTTTTCTTTTCTTTTCTTTTCTTTTTTTTTTTTTCAGTAAGTTGTTAGGGCTTGATCCCAGGGAGCTCATACATTGTTGATTCTTAGACTACATGATTATTTAATTAGTTATCTAGATTATCTCAGTATCTTCCTATCACTAGTTATAACACAGATCTTTCTTACATCAAGGTGTTACTCCTTAAGGAGTATACTGAACTATGTTATTCAGGAGTATTTTATATGATTATATAATACATTATATATCTTTGTATAACAGCTTTATTTATTAAACTTTATAAGGAACTTTATAATACTGTATTTTTGAAAAAAATCACCTTAAGGTGCAAAATATCTGGAGTAAGGATGATCGACTAAAGGGCAAAAGTGGATTTGAGATTATTATTGTGTTCCGCCTGAAACTTTTTATGATCAGGTGTATGGTAGAGTTCAGCTTCCTTGAATCTGATGTTTGCCATGCCAAATAATCCTATGGTGTTTAGATTGTCTGAGATTGACATTTTAAAAATTAAAGCTACATGATTTGACAAAAGTTATGGCACTTTCGAGTTTACTTAGAAATAGCCCTCATCTACCCAACTCTACACCTCACTCCATTTTATATTTTATGAATCCGATCTGTAGGAGGTGAGGAAGATTTCCTGGGTTGAAGGATATAAGAATAATTTTGGAAGTACTCAGTAATATATCCAAAATACTAAAGCTGGAAGAAATTTTTTAGCCTAAAGTAACCAAGAAAATGCTTCTTTGGTTTTCAGGAATTACTTAATTTTGATAATTTTGCTCAACGTTATCCATTACTCATTTCTCATTAAGTAAATCAACTTACTAGTTTTATTGTTCCACCGTTCAATGGAATTAAGCTAAATTTATTAAACTGAAATATAAGGTAGCCGTGTTTTCTGTTAACTCTAGTAACATAGTTGCCATATGCATAGATCACTTGCTTTACTAGACAAGTGATTTCTAATATATAGCTTTAACTTAAAAGCCGTGTAAATGTATGACACAGAAATCATCATGAACATATACCAAGAAAAAGTCTTTAAAATGTATTATGCCAGATATTTAAATTTTATTAAGTGCTATTCATATTCATAGTGAGAAGGATTATGCCTAACATAATCACAGCCATAGGTGGAAATTTAGACAATTAGAACTAGTTTTTTAGGTAAAGTTCTTGAAGCATAGAAAGCCTATTAAATGAGTTGTACTAAAAACCATCTATTCTGCTTACTTATTTTGCAAGTGTAGCCTTTCTTTTCAAGATCTTTGACCATTCGAGAATAAACTGAATAGAAACCTCTGCTAAGGTGCATATAATAATGCTAGAATTCATAAAGAATCTAAGAGTTTATGATGGAATGAGGAATAGAAAGTAATATATAAATTTATGCTATATATTTTTGTTTGTTGTTTTTTTCAATCACTATGAATTGCAAAGTTAGAATAGTATTCGTGTTTGGGTTTCAGGTATACAGTATTGCAACACCAGTCCTAACACCAGTATTCACTTCCTTCATCAATGTTCCCAGTTTTTCTGCCCCATCTCAGCCTCCTCCACCCCAGCCTGCCTCTATGACAGGCACTTTTTTCTTTTTCTTTTTTCCTTCCCCTTCTCCTTTTTGGCATTTTGTTTTACAATACTGTTACTGATCAAGTATTATGCATATCATTTTATCTCCTTTCAGCACCCATCCCTCAACCAAAGTGACCACTACCATCACCGTCATAGTGGTCCTTTCCCTGACTTATTTCCCCTCTGCAGTGGCAAGCTTCCTGCTAAGCACCAACTTTTCTGCTCTTGTTTCTCTTGCCTTTTGGCATTAGTTTTTTCCCAACTGTTTCTTTGTACCCTATATATGAATGAGATCATATGTGTCTTTCCGTTTCTCTCTAAATCATTTCAACTTAGCATAATACTCTCCAGATCTATGCATGCAGTAACAAATTGCATCTTTTCTTATAGCTGAGTAGTAATCCATTAAATATATATATATATAATGTTATTTATCCAGTCATTTGTTCTATAATAACAGGTCTAGTTTTCTTCTTGATTAGCATGTTCAATGATGAATTTTACCATATATGTTAATAATATAGAAAGTGCCAAGTATATTTATGATATCTAAAATTCGATTGTGGCACAGAGAGATGGTCTCAGAATCTTTTACCACAGTCCTCCCAATTTTCTTCAGCTCCCTGATACTCATTTCAAATAAACTTTCATGCTAAATGGAAACAGTTTACTTGCTTCTCTTATCCAGATTCTGGACATATCCTCCATCTCCAAAATTATGCATATGCTGTGCAGAGCAGACACCCCTTAATATATTTTTACCCTGAGATAGGCTTTGTAATGTAAGACTGCGTTTGAAACTCTTCTAAAATAAGTACACAAGGGCCAAGGGTAGTGCATTGGTAGAGCACATGCCTCACATGTGGAGGCTCAGGCATAAAAAAAAAAAGAGAGAATAGTAAACGGAATTGTTTATTTACATTGCTGTGATAGCAGAACCCTTAGAAACAGTGGTTGTTCATTCCTTAGTTTAATTATAATATTAGGCATTAAAAATGGAAAGCGCAGGAGCCAGCGCAATAGTCAGCAGGTAGGGTACTGGCTGTGCACACATCAACCCGGGTTTGATTCTTCTAGTGTTCGTGAGGGTGAACAGGCTGTGACAGCTTTCACTCCATTGATCTCCAGGGTTGAAACTGATCTGGTTGATCTGGCTGATCTGATTCAAATCAGCCAGAACTGACTGACTGATCAGCCAGAACTAACTCAGAAGAGGACAGCCTTTCCCAAATACACCATTCTGTCTCAAGTATAGGAGTAGCTGCATTTCCCTGCTAAACTCTCTAAACAAGCTCTCAAGGAGTAATTCCTGAGTAAAGAACCACCCAGAGCGTGGCCCCAAAACAAAAAGCAAAGCCTTTGTGTGTGTTTGTGTTTGTGTGTATACACCTATATATGTGTATGTATATATGTATGTATATAGATATTTTAAAATTCTCATAACTAGTTAGTTTGGCAAATATACAACCAGAACTTCACAATCTATGTGCCAGAAATCAGTTATAGGCTTGTTCAAGCCATGGTCACCCTCAGGAATCCACAGATGGTCAGAGAGTGAATTCTAGCCTCAAGCATCCTGTCCACTGATCTAGGTATGCCCTAACCTGACATGCATTGTACATTTCATGTTTAATTGTACTAAGGACTTTAAAAGGTTGGTAAATAGTATTTTAAAGACAGGTAATACTTTTATCCTAGGCACCAGCAATAGTAGGAAGGAGCATAGTTCTTTTTTATCCACAAAGCACAGAAAAAACTATTTCTAAATGTAGTTTGGGGATGACCTCAAGGCTATTCCAAGAATACTTGGCAAACTGGACTGTTGTTGAATGCTAGATGTGAGGATACAGAGCTACTTGAGCCTGTAGTACTAGGGAATACCAGACCCACATACTGTGGTTCATTCAAGGGCTAGAACCAGCATTGCTCAAAGATCCTTGTGGTACCCAAGTTTGAATTTAGTCCCAGTGCATGCACAGCATGTGCCTATAACTGCTAAGCTGACGCCCTGTCTCCACTGTACATTTTTCTTTTTTTTTAATTTTTATTAGTGAGACACCATGAGGTACCACTGTACATTTTTCTTTGCTTCACTCTACCAACTGGATAAAACTCATTGCCTTTTTTTAAAGGAAATTCTTTATATTTTCCATATAGTCAGATAGATAGATAGATAGGTAGATAGGTAGATAGATGGATGGATAGATAGATAGATAGATAGATAGATAGATAGATAGATAGATAGATAGATAATAACTCTAGTATTAAGCCTTATTCACATATTAAATATATAACCTCACTCTTTTGTTAACCAGTGGATGTATCATTAAGCCTACACATTAAACCTAAACATACTGTCCTCTTTGGTGTCTAGATTTTGGAACTGAGACTAGTAAAATCAGTGTATTTAGAATACCTGAACAGTCAGTGACATTATTTAATTTCACATTTGTTTTGTTATTTTTGTTTAAATATAAAAAGAGGGAAAGTCAGGAGATTTAGAAGATCCAAAGGAAAATCATTTGTGATGATACTGTTTCTCCTTTACACAGTAGAAGAGTTCTTTAGAAATGTATGTGTGTAGGCAGGGTTATGGTTCATTAACAGTACCTGCCTTGTAAACATGAGGCTCTGAGTTCTGTCCCTGCTCTTACCTGGTTCACATGTGCTGAGTTCAGTCTCAGCAGCTTTGTTGCTTTAGACCTGTGGTTCTACAACAGGTTGTATCAACTGATGCAAGACAATCACCGGAGATGTATGAAAACACTGCAGTGAAAAGTATATGAGCACCATAGCCGGGGTGAGACTCTTGGAGAATAGTACAACCTGAATATGCATAAGTACCCCAAGAGTGTGACTCAGGTGATACATGTTCAAGTACTGCAGCTGGAGTATTTTGTGATTTACAAATCAGCCATTAAACCCTCTTTATTTAGGAAGAGAGCAATATATTTATGATATATTGCTTATAATTTAAACCTTCATTCAGTATCTCATTTAATTCTCACAATAGTCACACTGGATTGTTATGTTCCTGTGCTATTTAGTTTGAGTCAAGGCATATATGCCCATACCACACAGGAGGATCAAGCTTGAATTTACATTTAAGTCCTGTGACTTGACACCATACTCTTTATTTGTTTGCTCTCCCCTATCCTATTACTATGTTCCTCACCTCAACTCTCACAAGTTATCTAGGCTGAAATTATTTCTCTTTATATTATTTAATTTTTTAAATCTAATTTATAATACAAATGGAATGTTGTCTAACAAGTCTTAGTTTGCCCAGGACTTCTACTTAAGGGTAGAAACTGGTGTCCTTGCTTGCATCCAAGGCGCATCGTAAGATCTGGGAGGACAATTTATGTTCATCTCTTTAAACTACTGAGGGCAGTGGTGTACCTCAATAGTACAGGTGTGAGACCCTGGATTTGATACCTGGCACACAAAATCAAATTATTCCTTATCATGTCCCTAATGTATCTAATTCATGCTTCATCTCTCAACCTTTGGTATGAGACTCAGGAGTAGAAGTCAGGATATATTATTTACATATATTTATATTACATTTATGGACATGTGTTGTAATACATGTGTTTGATATATTTGACATACATGTTGCTTGGTATTTGAAAGGTATTCATAGTATTAAAAAGGTATTGAGTTTGTATAATATACTTGATATGTATCATATGATATCTTTGGTATTTATCATTTGATATTTTTATGTATCATTTCATGTGTTTGAGTCTTCAAATAGTATCCCTAAGTACAGTACACCCAAGTGATTAAGCATCATTTGTTTAACTGGTTTCTGGTTTAAGGGAGCATATGAGGGAGTATGATACCAATTTTATGTGGCTGGTATCTGTATGTCTTCTCATAGAGTTCTGTTTTGAATTTTGATACTGACTTCAGAGTTTAGCTGAAATCTCATTTGTTATTTATAGGCTGTCATATTAAGGTATAGAATAAAATATATATTATTTAAATAACTTAGTTATCATTCATTCTGCTAATTGAGTTTTCATATGTGCTGCATATATATGTATTTCTTGTTTGCATCCTTTGGTTACATCTAGACGAGTAAGCCGGCTTTGAGGCTTCATCTATATAAGGCTTTAGGTAACCAGCTCAGAACTTTGTAATATAATCTTTGTGTGAATAGAATTTTAACCTTGGGCTCAAATTAAAAAGAAAAAATGATTGGTTATATTGTATTTTAATTGTTTTTCTTTTACAAATTTTTCCTCTTATGTTTTATAATTTTCACTTGAGGCAGATGATGTTTCTAATCATTTAACTCTTAATATTTTTGTGTTTTAAACTTATCATTTCATATTTCAACATTGTAATATTTTTGCTGTATTACTGTTGGATCTTTAACATGAATATCACTGTATCACTGTCATCCAGTTGTTTATTGGTTGCCTTGAGCAGGCCCCAGTAATGTCTCCTTCATCCTAGCCCTGAGATTTTAGAAAGTGCCACATTTGAGGCTCTTTCAGGGTCAGGAGAATGAGACCCATTGTTACTGGTTTTTGGCATATTGAACACGCCACGGGGAGTTTGCCAGACTCTGCTGTGTGGGCAGGATACTTTTGGTAGCCTCCCAGGTTCTCCAGAGTAGGACCGAGATAATAAGATGAAACTTGAAATATATATATATATATATATATATATATATATATATATACTGCTTTTTTGGTCACATCCAGCGATGCACAGGGGTTATTCCTGGCTCTTCACTCAGAAATTACTCCTGGTGGTGCTGGTGGTACCGTATGAGATGCTGGGAATCGAACCCGGGTAAGCCACATGCAAGGCAAACGCCCTACCCGCAGTGCTATCACTCCAGCCCCTTGAATATTATTTTTTATATTTAAAAGAGTTTTTTTATTAAAAAGAACTACACGAGGATTTCACCTTACCTTACAAGATTAGATTTAGGTCTGATTTATAGTAACCACAAAAAAAAAGCATTTCTGTGAATATTTTATAATAGCAGTAGAATCCCAAGAGATTTTGAAGCCCATCTGTATATATCTAGAAGAAAATGCCCTTGTATTTGGGATTGTTTTTAATCACTAAAAAGAATGAAAGGAAAGGAAAAATATTGACTTTGCTTTGAACAATTAATTAGGATATAGTTCTCAGAATTTGCACAATAATGGCTCTTAACTGTATCAGTTCAAAACTCAATAATTCTATCATTGTGAAGTATTTGACTAAGAAAATTTTTCTTTACATTTAACTTTATAAACTATGGGGTTTGCAAGTAATGGATGTTCTACTGCTACATCTATCTTTACTTTCCAGAAAATTCACTTTGTAATTTTTCTAAACAGTATTTTTCTATAATTGAAGACAATATTTAACAAATTATGTCATTTTTCATACACAGTTGGAAAATCTGATGCTTGATAAAGATGGCCACATAAAAATTACAGATTTTGGACTTTGCAAAGAAGGAATCACAGATGCAGCCACCATGAAGACATTCTGTGGTACACCAGAATATCTGGCACCAGAGGTAGTAACAATTTTATTTATAGGAAAAAATGTTTTTCAAAGAAATATTTTTAAAATGTAATACAACCATTTTTACCTGAATTTCAATATGAATCTATTTTGTTGCCACATCTTATATGATATTATGGGGTAAGGATATACAGAAATTAAGTTTTCATGAGCATAAAGACACTAACTGAAATAGATTATGTGAGGCTTTTCTTAGCTTTATACATTTTATTTCTTGATTCTATTGATTTTTTTTGCCTCGTTCTTTAAAAGTACAATTACTGCATAAAGAATGTTTAGATTCTAAACCATTTTGTATTTTCCTTGGAAACAAAGAAGCAATTTAAATTTATAATGTTGTGAATTTTAATGCTTAATTAATGGGAACTCTTTCATTGGAAATGTTAATAAAATGGCAGTAGGTGGTTCATTTGGGAATCTTGCCGGACTAAGCCTCAATCAGTGATCTTCCTGTGCATTGGACTCCACTATAATTTACTAATTTGTTAATTCAGCAAACATTTAGTATGTATTGGGTGATTTTTCTACATGTTATGGTACAGGAACAAGACATAAAGACCATACGTTTGAGGAACTTCTGGTGGAGGGAGCTGAATAAACATAAATAGCAACATGGCATGTAATAAATAAGTGCCAGGAAGGGAATAAAGCTACTTAAGAGGAACGATGTGTTTTTCAGATAGTGTGCCAGTTTCTGTAACGTTACAATCTATGGTGGAAATGACCATTTGGGCTGAATAGGAAGTAAGAAGCTTGCCTTGCTCGTGGCGCTTTTTTAGTCTTCTGCAGCACATGTGGTCCTCCCCAGTCACCACCAGGAGTGATCCCTGAGCAGAGAGATAGAAGTAAGTCCTGCTAGATATGAGTTAAGAAGAAAAGAATAGAAAATAAGAGCAGAGAAGAAGGAAGGCGAAAGGGGCAAGAGAAGGGGAGGAAGAGAAAAGAAAGAAAAATGAACAGTTATATTATCACAGATTCTGAGTCAAAATGTGACAGGGCAGCAAGGATGGATGACCTCTGCTCTGTCATATGTAGCATCACAGCTAGAAAAACCTTAGAGCAACTCATGAGTAGAGGCGAGAATCTGGAAGCATATTTATTTGTATATAAGACAGTCGACACTGACTGTCAACTAGTACTAAGTAGACCTGTCAAAGGAATGCTTTCCATTCAGCCTCAGCTTCAGATAATACCTGATTTTGAGGCTCGAGCAATAGTGCAGCAGACAGGGCATTTGCCTTGTACACAGCCAACCCAGGTTCCATCTCCAGCACCCCATATGGTCCCCAAGAAGAGAGATTTGGAGGCCACACTCAGTAATGCTTAGGGGCTGTTTCTGGGTAGGTGCTGGTCCTTTGATGTACTTGAATAAACCATTTGCTGGGGATGGCACCCATATCACTGCATTATTGTTATGTCTTTCTTTGTTCTTAGGACACACCTGGTAGTGCTCAGGGCTCAGTCCTAACTGCACTCAGATCACTCCTGGTGAGACTCACGGAACCATATGTAGTGTCAGGGATTGAAACAGGGTTTGCCACATACAAGGATATATCTGGTCTACTATGGCTCCGGCCCATCTTGGAGCTATTTCCCAAGCACAGACCTCACTTTTTTTTTAAATGAGGGAACATAGGGTAAGCAGTTTTTTCTAATGTTTTGTATATAAAAGGTGGGAGAGAGATCAGGTATCTCAATAGAATATCTTATAATTCTTCTTATTCAAATTTTTAAAACTACATGGCCTCCAAGAATCACATTTTCAGGGCTACATAAAAACATAAATTGTAGTTTCTTTAAATTCTGGCTCAGGCTGTGGAGCTGTGCTTTAACAGTTTAAGTTAAAATGCATACCTTGCCAGTGACTGACCCTGGTTGAATCCTTGGCACCATAGGTGCAGGTTTCAGCCATGTGTCAGGTGCAGCCATGTGTCACTCCCACACCCCAAAGACCCACAATACTCTTAGGGTAGCAGGGATATTCCTTAGCACACACCCCCTCAACACACACCACCCCACCGCCAACACAGGTCCTAGGCAGCACATATCTTTCGCCCCTTTCATTGAACTGCCAGCAGAAGATCCTTGAGAGGGTCTGAGAACTCTTAAGCACTGCATGAGAGGTAAATAAAGTATAATCATATAAACAGAATTAATGCTTTATCTTCTCAAGAAAAGATAAATAACATTGGAAAGAAGGAATATACTGCGAATAATACTAGCATTTTTTATAAATATAAATCATGACAGTTTATTACTATAATAGTTTTTTTCAATTAGAGATTACATTTACATTTCAGGAATGTTGAGTTACTATAAATAAGTTATTTTAACTGTAGACATTTCCAGCTATCATATCTTGAGGGCTGCCAAAATTACCACTTTTTTGTCTGTTACAAAAACTAAAGGTTAAAATTCTCCATATTTGGTACTGAATTAGGTAAAATTTTAGAAACATTGTTCCTTGTTTATTTAAATAAAAGATCATATTTTCTAGACTAGGATTGTTTTTGTGAATCTCATGAAAAACAAATTCTTTGTTTCTCTCTAGGGCTTAATTACCCCTACTATACATTTGCCATGGATGATGATATCCCATTTTTAGAATAACAGAATTAGTTTTGTCACAATTAGGGGAAATTATATCTGAAGAAGATAAATACATCTCATTTTAGAAGCAGATGATCTCCTAAGAAAGAAAGACATTGTTTCATATGCAAATGTCATCCACTAAAGAACAAAACCAAAAATTTGATTCAAGAAGAGCCCAATTATTTCTAAATAGAAAGTTTACAATTCACAAGAAATTATCAATTTCTTTTTAAATATAACTAAGAAAATATTTTGTGTACCTATTTTTGTTGCATAAGCTTGATCTTTAAAGTATCTTATATACCTATAGCTGACATTATTTCTAATTAAAACATTAATATTTGGGGTAATATTATACGGATAGACACTTGCCTTGCATGTGACAAATTTGAGTTCTATCCATGGCACCACATATGATCCGTGAGCCCACAGGAGTGACCCTGAGCACCAAACCAGGAGATAAGCATGCGCACAGCTGGGTATGCCCCACAATCCCCTTAAAAGATAAATAAAAATAAAATCTTAATACTTCTGTAGGGTAATTTCTGCCTCTGGTTGGTAAATCTTGAAATCACCAACCTCTTTTGCAGTTTTGTCTTAATCTGAAATATTTATACCAAATCTTGCATTTTTTAAAAATCAGTATATCTTAAAATGTGCTTATCCTTTTCAGAACAAAAAGTTAAGCTCAGTTTTCAACTCTTTCACTGAAGAACATATACTTTTGTAATAAAAATAAATATTGAATATTTATTAGGTGTCATGCATTATTGGTAGATGCGGGAAACACAAAGGTTGTAAAAAATATTTTTTTTCTCAAGTAGCTTACAGTTTATTGAGGTAATAAGATGTGAAAAATTATTACTATGCAAAGAATAATTTGTTTTTTTTAATTAATGTACCATGTAGTCAAAGAACAGAAATTATGCATAAGCTTGCTAAAAGATTCAGTGTTTATAAATGAAAGCAGGAAAATAGGCATAGATTGGAGTTTAAACTTGTATTCATGTGTAAGGGAAAGTCACTTTTGAATTAATGGAACAGATATACATAGAGCTAGAGAAAGATTAGCAGAGCTGAAACTAGCCACTTCCCGCTACTTCAGATGGTGTATCTCATGATTTTGTACCTTTAATACCATATTAATACTTTACTTTTCTTGGTGACCTAGTAGTATTCATTTGTCAAACCATGAACAGAATCCTAAGTACTGCTTGTCCTATGACTATCCCACTTTCATATTTTCTTGAGAAAGAATATTTTATACATTATGAAAAGATCATACTTTATGCTATATGTAGCATTGTTCATCTTTATAAATTTTAAACTACTTTAATCTAGTAAAAGTACTTTATTTTTTAAAAGATAAAATAAGTACTTAAAATTGTTTTAAAAGAATGTTAGATATCAGTTGAAAGCTACCAGCAAGTCTATGTTTTAGACTCTGATTTTTCGCTAAAACTTAAATGTTTTCAGTTCTTATTGCAAACTACCAGAAAAGATGCCTTAGAGTATAAGAGGACTATTTGTTGAAAAAGGATACATTTTAAAGTTTTTGTTCTCATTCCTCTTTTGATGAGGTATAGCTCTTTATTATTAATAGAGAATAAAGTGAAGTCTTTTTAAAAGAATTTGCAGATACATAGTTCTAACAGGCATATAGACTATGCATTTAGGGTGTCAAATCTCTAAAAATACATTAGTATATATAGTTTTAAGTGAATGGTTTTTGTACTTTTTTATATTAGAAATAAATAAATATGACCTGCTTTGCCATAGATATTTTGAAGGAAAATTGATTGTACGGTCTATACTATATTTTCACACCTAGAAATTATAAGAGAAATTAAAAATTACATATAAAAATCTTACTGTTAAATTTTATTACTTGCTTTGGCTCTCATTAAATCTCAGCCATTTTATGCAGTGCTAATTATTTAGAGTCTCAGCTTTGCTCTTGAGTTAGCAGTACCTGATCAACTTTCCAACTGTAAAACAGTTTGAAAATCAAATGTAGCCTACATGCAAGACCCAACAAAATTAAAAGTGTTAAGTACGTTTTGGCAGTTCACTTTTATTATGCCCAGTCCTCAAATGTACCAGCAGATAATCATCTGAATGTTAGTTATTTTTCACATGCTTATGTGATCACACAAAAAGTACATGCTAAAAAGAAGCAGATGGTGACAGATGGGGAAGGTTGAATAAGGTGGTTTTGGAAACCTAGAGAAATGCACTTCTATAATAGTGTAAAAATAAAAATTATTTGATAATCAAGTTAAAACTAACAAAAAGAATGTACTGAATGACTTGTTTGTTGGAAAATATATAACATCTACTTGCAGTTGCTATTCAAGAAAAATTATATATACTTTGATGTAAACCTACAATATTATTTTG